AAAAACCAAGCCACGAGAAGGAAACGCGACTGTATTCAACAGGTGAAATTGGCGATTCGTACTGGTGTATGGATAAATACATGACCAAGCTGAACCCAAAACAAAGTGCTTTCTACCAGCACCCAAAAACCATTGTAACAGAGATAGACGACGTCTGGTACGAGAATAAGCCGCTGGGCATCAATAAGATAGGAAAGATGATGAGGGAGATATCTATTGGAGCTAGTTTGTCGAAGATTTACACCAACCACAGTGTCAGAGCGACGGCCATCACGATCTGGTCCAATGCCGAAGTTCCCGCTCGACATATAATGGCCATCTCCGGCCATGTAAACGAGCAGAGCATATCCAGCTATAATGAGAGGCCATCAGCAGACCAGCTCAAAAGATGCTCAAACATCTTGTCTCTTGCCCTCGATGGCCAACAGTCTGAGTCCACAACAGCCATCACAACTTCCACTTTCACCACGACTTCGGCAAGCTTTTCCTCGCCAGCTCCTTTTCAAGTTCCAAGCGGTTTTTTCAGTGGCTGCACCATTAATAATGCCCATGTATCTTTTGTTATTCCTAAGAAGTGATGTTTTTCTGTCATATTTTGAGCAGTTTTTGGATTTTCTTGTACATTTCCATTGATTACTTTTGAAAGAATGATGCGAATCTTGTTAAATTGTCAAATTCGAAATAAAAAATTTGAACAATCTTATCTGTTGTATTATTGTCCAATCAGAATGGAGTATTTAGAGTTGTAGCCAATCAAAAAGCGAGAGGAAGAGTAAAAATGACGAGAACAGTCACGCTTGTCACGCAAAACAATTTACAAGTGAAACTGCGCAGAATTCCGCAAAAGAAACAATGATTTAAATGGAGAAATCTACAAGTTATTATAAAAAACAATTCGCAGGCGGTTTTCCATTGTCTGTACTCTTATTGACAATGAAATTGACGTCAAAAATGCTCAAAACTTTGCAGTGAAACCACTCGCTAACGCTCGTGGTTCCACTTGAGTTTTGAGCATTTTTGACGTCAATTTCATTGTCAATAAGAGTACAGACAATGGAAAACCGCCTGCGAATTGTTAAGTGGAGTATATTTTTATCAAATTTCTTAGTATGTATAGACGAAAATTATTGCCAAGTTACACTGGCCATCATTATTTATGAATTAAAATGGCAGGTGACTGAAAGGGCAGCTTGAAACAATACCAAACATCCGTCATTTCCTCTCACTTACCAGTGGCCAGTGATCCAATCTTTAATATCAAATTAAGAGACGTCAGGGTTGAATTTCCAAAGGATTATTAGAAAAGACTGAATTATCAGGCTGCATAAATCACTCCGGGGTAAAAGTACCTGAGATGATCGTCAGAAATTTTCTAAAAGCGTCCTAAAAGATCCTGGAAGTCTTGAAAAAAGGGCGTGGCAGACTGACTATTAACCCCTGAGAGATTGCGCAATAAATATTGTTCAATTAAATCACTTTCAATGATTAAATCTATAAAATATTTAATAACAAAACAAAACACAGAATCCAGTACCGATGCGCTCTTTCTCTTTTTTTCCGTCACCCTAAGAGATCGCGGGAAACTCAAATTTTTACCGCTTTGAGATCCGACGATCGGAAACATCCCAAATACTTTCACTCCGGAGTAAACACTATAATTGTACTCCTCTCGACCAATGAAAAAGAATTAGTGTTGAATGTGCTATAAAGCACTGAAAGCACTGGATGACTGGCTGAAGAACGTACATGGGAATTGGACACTGGGGATGCGGAGATGAAATGAAAGTCACTGTCTAGGGTTTACAGGAAGTAAGAAAAAGCACGAACAAAACAGAAAACACGACTTCGTTTAATCCACTCCGGCTCTCATCTAATCTTGTTTGTAGAATGGGAGGAAAGCCTCTTGACCTGGAGTTTTTTAGCTATTGTAGGAGTTTCGCCCGTGCAGCAGGCAAAGCATTTTATCTATGCGCGATATGCCAATGAATATCTTAATGCACCTATCAATGTTAACCGTGAGCCGTGAAACGGCTGAAAAATTAGCCGTTAGTCGTGAAAATGCGAAAAAATTAGCCATGAGGCGTGAATATTTTTTTTATAGCGTGAGCCGTGTTTCAGTTTTGTCCCTCAGAAGGACAGTCAACTCCGATGCAG